TGTTGTGTGTTGCCTTATTTGCCTCTGTGATGCTAACTTCACTCTTCGACAGACAATGCGACCTCTGCTTGGAAGCGTGCTTCGCCAGTGTTGGAGTGCTCGCCGACTAGCACACACCTCACGGACTGTTCAGGTGCTCTCTGGCATTCAACCAACTGGTAGCATCCACTTGGGCAACTACTTTGGCGCCATCAAACAATGGACTGAATACCAAAACGGTCCTCATGAGGACCTGTTTACTTCTTCTGATGTGCCTGCTCCAGCTGAATCTAGCATTCAGTATCTGCCTCCGATTATTCAAATTGTTGACATGCACTCAATCACCACTTCGCATGACTCTGAACTGCTGCACAACAACATCTTTGACATTGCCGCAGTTCTACTTGCCTGTGGAATTGATCCAAAGAAGTGCATTCTCTTCAAGCAGTCATCAGTGCCACTGACGACTTACCTTTGCTGGGTGCTCTGTTGCATTTCCACGATGCCTCAGCTGAGCCGATTTCCTCAGTTCAAGGTATGTGCGTTTCTGTGCCATTGAGATCAATGTCCCTAATAAGTTTATGTAAATATACTCTGTACAGGAAAAGAGTGCAGCGTTCAAAGAGCCACCCCTTGGATTGTATCTCTATCCAGTTTTACAAGTTTCTGACATTTTACTGTACAAGGGAACGCATGTGCCAATTGGCGATGATCAGTTGGCACATCTCAATCTAGCCAAGCATATCACTGGAAAGTTTAATAACACCTTCAAGACGAATATTTTTCCTATACCCAAGGAAGTGCTTCCTAAAAGCGGTGCCGGTAGGGTGAAAAGCCTGAGGGCCCCCGAGAAGAAAATGTCCAAATCTGAAGCAGATGCCAAGTCAAGGATAGAGCTGACTGACTCTTCCGATGATATCATTCGAAAGATTCGCAAATCTGTCACCGATATGAAGTCAGCTATAACCTACGACCCGGCTGAGCGACCAGGAGTGAGCAATCTCATACAAATCTACTCAATCATATCAGGCTTGAGCACGGAGCAGGTCTGCGAACAGTTTGCTGGCAAGGAAACACTGCAGCTCAAGGTAGAGTTGGGCGAGCTGCTGGCGGAATACCTGAAGCCCATTCGAAAACGGATTCTCGAGTACTCCAGTGATCGGCACTACTTGGAGACTGTCCTAAAGGATGGCGCCGCTAAAGCGACGACAATTGCCGAAGAGACATTTACACAGGTGCAACAGGTGATAGGCTCAGGTATGGCAAATCTGATAGAGTCGACGACGACGACTGCTTCTGACGCAGTGGCCAGCCGTGAAAGTGAGCAGCAGCAGAAGCAGAGGTAGCAGAGGAGAGCGAAATGTATCTACCTGAACGCTGCACTTCTAATCGTCTGAGCTTAGTGTTGCATGAGTGGATTTCCATTCAGCAGACAGGAAAGCGCTAGTCGAAACCCAAGGATGACGTGTGTGTCTGTGTTGTCTCAGAAAAAATATAATTTGCTTGCCGTTTAGTCAACAACAACGACTACAGGCAGTTTGTTGCAATTCCGTCGCTATTTGCCGCCAATTAATGCACACATTGGCCATTTAGACGACGAAATGTTCCCCTAATACTGCTAACATTCACTGTCACTGGCTGTGATGTGTGCAGTGCACTTCGGTAATACACTCACTGACAACTTACGACTAAGGAAAACACTGAGCCTGCAGTTGCTGTAGATGACTACCTCGAATGCGGTGAAAGTGGCACTTCTCAAACAGTTGCAGCTCTCTCTCAAGTCACTTTCCTGACTCTGCGGAAAAATCCTGTCCAGCTCTCTCAGCCACTGGCCACTTGAGAAAATCGGCCAAGTCTGCTGACACGCTTCGCTTCGCACTCTGTGTGAAATGTGAAATGTCAGTCGATCACCATTTGACACTTGATTGCCGGGCAGATGCATCAGCAGAAAGTGAACAGAGTAACCTCATTGTGTGGCGGTGCTGATGGAAGATCGAAGATCTCGCTGCAAAGGTGTGCTCACACTTACTTGTGTGTGTGCACTGTACAGGTAGGCAATGTACATCGATGGCCCCCGTCACGACGGCCAGGGACTGTTTTTGAGTGAGTGAGAAAGTAAGAGAGGGAGCTTTCCTCATCACGCCACTCACTGCTGGAAAGTGCCAATCGAGTTGTTGCCCCCTCCTCAACAACCACCACCACCACCACCTCCTCCTCCTCCTCCTGCCCAGAAGCAAATATCCCCTTTCTTGTTTCGCTCGCGGATGTAAGCTGACAGCAGCAGCTCACTTGGGACTTTTTCCTTCCAAGCTGGCGTTCAGCAGTTGAGCGCACCTCCAGCGCACGACCAGTCTCAGTGAGCGCCGCAGCCTGGCTCTGGCGCCCACTCCTGCAGCCGCAGCCAAAGTAAGTAAGTAAGCAGTGTCTGGCGCAGTGGAGAAGCGGCAACGACGGCGGCGGCGGTGGAGGCAGCAGCCATCGTACGAGCAAGTGCTTGTGTGACGTGTGCAGCAAAGTGGCAGTCAGCATTGGTGTCTGTGTGCTGGCTGGCAGAGTGCTCTCCTGTGCACACAGAGCGTACAGCCAACACTCTGACTGCCCTCTTCGGCAGATACGTCACCACCAGGAGCAGTAGTGTGGCCAGGCCAGGCCAACAGCAGCAGCAGCTGTCACTCTTCGATCACCTCAAGAGCACCTATCGGCAGTCATCATCTGCAAAGTACCTACATACACAGACACACAGACAGAGGGAGCATAGGCAGACGGAGCACTGTTCAGCGGCGAGCGCGTCTTCGCGTCTACTTACCTCTCTTCACCACCAGCAGAAGTCTCGGCAGAAGTCTTCGAAGAAGAAGTGCCGCCAGTTTTTTTTCTTCCCATCACCTCATTTGCCCATCTCCGTCTCTCTCCTTCTGGCCTACCCAGTCCTCGAGCACCTCCTCCGAGCACGGACATATCAGCACGCCACCAGGAGGACCAGCAGTAGTACACCGCCGAGCACAGTACCCAATCACCCCAGCACCCCAGCCGATCACGCCGAGTGCACATTCCTTCACGTCCTCTTCACTTTCCTTCCACTCGCTAACTCACTTCACTCACTCACCCATCGCCTCATTAGTCGGCCAAACACCTATCCCCTCACCCTAGCACCTCAACATGGCCTCTTCGTCTTTCTACGAACTCT